TGGGGTGGCCTGAAGCGAGTGGCCAAGGACCTCACCATGGCCGCGAAGGCAGTGGCGAAGGGGTTGGCGAAGGTTCACCTGTCCATTGCCGCCAAGAAGTCGCGCGTGCTGGCCAGCAGCAGAGGCCTTAGGGCCACTCTCCAGAGGCACCTGGGCTCGACCACTGGGGCCATCGGTGTCAGAGAAGTGCGCAACCTCGGCATCGACTACACTGAGGGCGGCAGGCGGTCCAGTGTCGTCAGGCGGCACCGCATCGCGCAGAACAGACTCCGCCTTCCTCGGATCCGACGGCTCCTGGGTCTACGCAGAGGAAGGGCCACAGCGGCTAAGATCGTATCGACTGGGCTGGCTCCCAGTCTCTTCTACGGGATCAACTGCACGGGGCTCAACAATACGGAGCTGCAGCAGGCGCGTAGCATTGTGCGGCACGCCATTGAGCCGAATCCCCATGGGAAGTCGCTCACGGCGTGCTTGCTGGTGGGGGGCTCTCCCACCATCGACCCTCTCTTTGCAGCTACGCTGGCACCCTGCTTCACGCTGGCGCGCGCTGTGTGGGAGAAGTGGGTGCCGTTGGCGCAGCTCATGCCCGCTTTCGAGTGGGCAGCGAGGTCGACTACTTGCTGGGCAGACGTACGCGGGCCGCTTGGCGCAGTGGTCATGTCCCTGAGGAGGATCGGCTACGACCCCAGGGCGCTCGATTGCATCGTCAGGCCGAATGGTACGATCATCAACCTACTGGAGGTCTCCCCGTGGTATGCCAAGCAGTGCATCACGATGGACGTGAAGGCGTGGCAGATGAAGCTCTTGGCAGACGGCACGCACGCTGACGTTCGCAGTGGCATCTTCGTCTCGCAGTTGCGGCGGTGGTTTGCCAAGGGCGTTGGAAGCTCCAGCCTGGCCAAAGGCTGGGAACCTCTCAACTGCAGCCAGCGAGGTTACGCGCGCTCGGTCTTCGTCCTCGGGCAGTGGCCGAACAGCAGGAGGTACCACGGTGCTCCGCGGCTCTCGCATACGCCGTATTGCCAGCTGCACCCAGAGCAGCCTGGCACTCTCTGGCACAGGCACACCGCCTGCCAGGACAGCTGGCCGAGTTTGACGCTGCCAGCCGAGATCAGCAAGCTCGTCCCCTTCAGCACCAGCGTGACCATCACTACGCTCCTGGAGAGGCTGGTCCTGCCCGAGCCCCTAAACGAGTGGCGCCCGCCTGGAGACGACCTCCTCGCGCACGTGCAGTGGCTCAAGGGCGGCGACGGTTTCCCGTTCTCCAACACCACGGTCTACTCCGACGGAGCAGTCTACGACGCTGGGACATCGCTGGCGGTGGGAGCTTGCGGAATGGTGCAGCTGCCCGACGGCGGTGACGACTGGGACCCTGGACCTGAGTCGGCCGTTAAGGCGCTAGGCACTCCCCTGCCTGGGCCGTTGCAGTCCATCGACGGGGCCGAGCTCTTGGGGTGTCTGGTGCTCCTCCGCCACAGCCTGCCCCCGATCACCGCGGCCTTGGACGCCACGTGCGCGACAAAGGGCTTGACGGCGAGGGGCGAAGCCGGCACCACCAAGGCGACTTCTGCCTGGGGGTGCATCTGGAGGCGGGTCTGGGCGGCGCTGGACGACTTCGGCGGCATTGGGCCCCAGGGGCTCACGATCCAGAAGGTGAAGGCGCACGCCTCTGCGGCCATGGTTCAGAGAGGCGACATCACGGCCCGCGACAGGCGTGGCAACTGGGAGGCCGACCGTGCTGCAAAGGCAGTCGCTGCCGCAGTGAGGGCACCGCTCGTGCTGCGTGAAGCCTGGCAACGGCGGTCTCTCACGCTGGACGGGGTCGTGCACTGGGTCGCGCGCGCTGGGTGTGAGGCGGCTGACCTGAAGCTGGACATCGACCCGAACTGTAAGCCTATTCACAAAGGGCCGCCTCTCAGCGTCACCAGGCACGACGTGGTCAAGGTGGCTGGCGACGGTGTGCACTGCAGGGCCTGCCTCAAGACGGCCTACACCGACCTCAGCATCAAGAGGCTGCTCAAGGACCCATGCGTTGGCAAGCCGTTCGCGCCCGTGGCAAGCGGCGCGAGGCGCAAGCCAGCTGCTTCGGCCCTGGCGTCTGCAGGCGCGGTGGCGGTGGCGCTGGCAGCGGCGCACAGGCTTGAGCAGGAGGCCCAGAGCACGCAGGACGACGAGATTGTGGTGTCCTCCGAGCCAGAGGCCCAGCAGATGGCGCCGAGCCCCGTCGCTGCCGCTCGCGAGCCTCCAGCTGAGGCAGCAGCGGCAGGCGGAGGCAGCAGCAGTAGCAGCGGCCAGGACCTCTCGCCTGGCGCTGCCCTCATGCACGCAGTGGGCGCCGCCCGCGCCGCGCGCGAGCAGCCAGCAGAGGCGTCAGCGGCTGGCGGGGGCAGCAGCAGCAGCAGCAGCGGCCAGGACCTCTCGCCTGGAGCTGCTCTCATGCGTGCGGTGGCCGCCGCCCGCGCAGCTCGCGAGGCTCGGGGCGCCCTGCGCGCGGGCCCCGCTGGCGGCCGGGTGGACGCGGGCCCCACGGTCGCCCAGGACGCCATGGAGGTGGACGAGCCTGGGGGATCAGGCACCCAGGAAGCCGAAGGAGTGGGCCATGCGCTCCTCAGCATCAACGGCTTCAGGATCTGCACGCGCTGCAAGGCGTACGCCAAGGAGATCAATGGCAAGCGCAGGACGCTCGGCAAGACGTGCGTCGCAGCCTCAGGCAATGCGCTGCGCCTGCGCAACCTGAAGGTCGCTAACATCAGGGCGGGCTTGGACCCAAAGACGGGCAAGCGCCTGAGTGATTGAGTTGGGGAGTGCCTTCGGTGGTCTGAGCCTGTTCAGGCTCGGCACGGGGTGGATGGTGGCTCGTGCGGCTGCCTCACCTGACGGCGCATACCCGTGCAGCGCGGCGTGCGCGCTGCTTTCGGAGGCCGCTGTTAGCGGGCCTCTTCGCCGCATTTTGCGGCTCGCCATTTTGGCGGCAGGATCGGTTCGTGCTGCACGGGCTGCCTTGTCATTAAAAAAAATGTGGCTCCAATCAGCAATGTTTTATGTACGACTGTTGCTATACTCTGGATCCCTTAATAATCGACCCCCCCCTAAACAACCGGACCCCCCCTTCCTTCGCGACATAATTTTCCGGACCCCCTCCCGCAGAGGGCGCCTTAATATTCCGGACCCCCCCCAGCAAAATTGCGAGCGCCACGACGACGACGACGACGACGACGATACGAGAACTACGACTACGACGACGACGACGACGACGACGACGACAACGACAACGACGACGACGACGACAACGACAACGATAGTCGTCATCGCCATCAGAAGTACCTTCATTGCCACCGCCGCATCATATCGTGATGATGGTGATAACGACGATGATGAGGATGATGACGATGATGTTGAAAATGTTGTTGATGATGATGATCATGATGATGATGCTGATGATGATGTTGGTGATGATGAACCTGATGATGACGATGACGATGACGATGACGACGGTGATGATGATGCTGATGATGATGATGGTTAGTACTCCGCGGGCTAGTACCCAAAAGGCGCCCTAATAAACCGGACCCCCCCTGAACGTCGGCTTCAAGAAACGCCTTAATAAACCGGGCCCCCCTGCTTCCCCAAAATGCGCCTTAATAAACCGGACCCGGGGGACGATTATTAAGGGATCCGGAGTACATTGGGCCTTTGCTGGGGCACGAATACTCCCTAGGAGGTCCCAGGAGGCCCCAGGAGCCCCCAAGAGGCCCCGGGAGGCCCCAGGAAGCCCCAGTAGGTTTCAGGAGGCCCCAGGAGGCCCCAGGCTCATGCGCAGAGACGCGCTCGTACTACTGAGGCTCATTCACATTCCAATTCATTCGCAGTTAGATTCATGACCAGACCGTCACAACTGAAGCCCATTTCTATTCGAAAGCTCTTGCGCCTAGACATTCACGGCGGACAGGTCCATGCGAGTAGATGCACATATGGAGAGCTCCACGCAGTGAATAAATTGTTTTCGTCAAAAATCCCCTCTGTATGGGGGACAGGCCCGACTTAAAATTGTGTCTGGGATGTGGTCCTCACGTGCGATGGGAGCAACATCGGTGTGGGCGTGAAGGTGGGGAATGGGCGGGGCCGCCGAGGCTTCCGACCCGAAAGTTTGATCCGCCCCCTTTCCTCCCTCCCCCCCGGGCAGTAGCTTTTGAAGTCTCGGGCCAGGCGAAAAGGGGGGGGATTGGGAAAGGGCGGGGTACGAAATCTGCGGCGTGCAGCTGGTTCCGGCCCCATCGAGGGGCCCATGCCTCGACACATGGGCGCCTCCAGCGCCGGGAGGCGCCGGCAGAATCAGCTGCGTGAGCTGATTCTCCCCCCCCCCCCTTTTGCTATCCCCCCTTTCGCCCGGTCCGAAGGTCGGGCGCGTCCTTCTACAGGAGTAAAATTCAAAATTAGTACAACAAATAGTATGGGGATGATTGTTCTACTATGTTTTGCAATTTGGGGGTCTGTTTGGACTATTTCTGATTTGTCTTCCAGACTCCGCCCGTAGGAGGACATGCCCGACCTAACAGTAGCTCTTCCGAACACAGAGATTCGAGTAGGGGGTCGACGCTACAGCATTGACTTACCCCAAACGTGAGTTGTCCTTCGCGTCTGCCGAAAATAGGTCGACCGTTCCGTATATATATATATATATATATATATATATATACGGGGCATCATAGTCTGCCGTCGACTCAACGGGGAAGTGCATTCTGGGGCAACCAATTCTATAGTTGATCCCCTACTCGAGAAAGCAAGCCTCGTGTCTTTCCCTCCTCCGCCTCCTCGTCCCTGCCTCTCGCGCTCCCTGTTTCTTTCCCCCCTTCATTCCTCCGCCCCCGCAGCACTCCCTGAGCCCGGAACGAAAGAGTTGCCTCCTTTCCCCCCAGCGTCTACCTTCGTTCTCCCCTCGACCCTCCCGCTCTCTTCTCCTCTCCATGCCTCCTCGCCACCCCACCCCCTCCGCCCCCCAGGCAGCGCGAGAAGTACGCCGCCGAGCTGAGCACGGCAAAGGCGCGGTGCGAGGACGCGGCGGAGGAGCTGAAGGCCCGTCCCCCGCCCGCCCCTCCTGGAGAGGAGGGAGGGGAGGGAGAGCGGGACGGGGGCAGGATAGGCTCGAGCAGGGGGTTTGGAGGCAGAAGAGGGAGGAGGAGGGCCAGAGTGAACCGAAGAGGTGCCTCCCATGCGGCAGAGCGTCCCCCCGTCCCGAGCCCCATCCCCAGACATGCGACGTCCTGATTGTTTCAGGACGGCGTCCCTGGAAGTCCCGACCCTTTCCCCGGGACCGGTTTTTCGTCCTGAGTCGCTTTTTGGCGGGCCCGAGGCCCATCGAGGGCCCCCAAGGCCGTAAACAATGAAGAACTTGCCGCCCTGATTTCTTTAACGACGCGATCGCGTATGGGTTTAAGTCGGGCCTGTCCCTCTACAGGGGGAATTTTCAAAAATAGTAAAAGAATAGTCTGGGGACTATTTTTGGGAGTATCTTTGGGCATCTTTTTTGGTTATTTTTGAATATTGTGATTTTTCGTGCCCGACCTAAGTCTGGGTCCCTGCAGGCCCTCCAGCCGCTCCTCGGCCTCTGGGCCCCCGGGGGCGGGGGGGGCCTCCTCGCGCACGGTAGCCGGGGCTCGCCCCGCGGGCAGGAGGAGGGCCCCTCCCGGTTCGGGTATAGCCAGGAGCCCCAGGTAAGGGTCGGGCGTTGGCAGAACTGGGTTCAGTGGAGCCTGGTTTCGTGTTGTGTACTGGGGGGCCCCCCCCCGCCCGGAGAGCACCAGCTGCGGCAGACCTGAGTAAGTGATTCTGGCAAATGAAAGCAATAACCGGGTCCCCCCACCTGGGGTCCTGGCTACACCCCGAAGGAGACCCGGTCAGTGGCGGGGCCCCAGAGCCCCTAAACTAGCCAGAAGCACGAAGCCAGGTCTGCCGCAGCTCGTGTTCTTGTGGGGGGTGACCGGCAGTTCCGGTCCGTGGAACGGGGCGGGGGGCGCCCCCCGGGACACACATCACCGTAAACCAGGTCCCACAAGAAACCCAGTTCTGCCAGTTCTGTGCAAGTGTCCCTTCCGAGGCTTCACTGGACTTGAGGGCACTCCACTCAGTGCCTGTGGCGCGGTCGCGGATCATAACTGATGGTACGGTTATACCACGACGCCCTTTGGTGGTTCACGCGAGCGGATGTGATGTCAAACAAAAAAGTTCTGCCAGCGCCCCCCCGGTGTGTGTGTGTGTGTGTGTGCTCCTTGCGCGGCGTGTGCCTCGCGATCGTGCGCGGGGGCCCCGGGGGGGGGCGATGCCCCCTTTTGGGTTCGCGCGTGGCAGTGCCGCAGTATGGGGCTCCGTCGGGCGTGTCCCTCTGCAGGAGGGGCATTCGAGAATGGCAGAAAAATAACCCGGGGACGGCTTTTTGACGATTGCTGCTTATTTTCGGATGTTTTTGGTGTATTTGTTTTTGATTTGTCGTCCAGAATCGGCCTGCAGGGGGGTCAGTCCCGACCTCACAGTAGGGGACTGGGGGTGGGGGAAGGGGAGAAGGGCGGGTCAGGAGGACGGGCACAAGTAGAAGTCGCTTGATACGAACATGTGGGACAGTGTGGCAAGTGGGGGGACGACGAAAGCCCAGAAGACATGGAAAGATATCGGGAATACTGCGATTCGTATTTACAGTGGAGACCACTGCCAAGAAACACCCTGCCTGAATTGCCTCCGGGGTGCCCTGGGTTTCTTGGGTTCCGATGGTCTTGCGATGGAGAGCGCGACGCTCCCACACCAAAACGATCAGTGGACGTCCTGGGGTCTCGGGGTTGGGTTTCTCGTGGAAGGTTTCTTGAGTCAGGAGGGAAAGAAACACACAGACACAATTAATCGGCGATCCCCCACAAAATATGGGAAAATACGGGAAGTGGGGGGGAAGACAAAAGCCCAGAAAATATGGGAAAATATGGGGGATCTTTTTATTTGTGTGTATTTATTTGTGTGTCCTGGGGCCCCTTCATTGAGGTCGAGCCCCTACTGCACCAGGAGGTGCCAATGCCGCTGCTCCACGGACCTCTCCGGGAGTGCTTTCCGGCCAGGATCTCGGGGCGAATCCGGCCCTGGCGACGAGGGCCTCCTCCTCCTCCTCCTCCTCCTCCTCCTCCTCCTCCTCAGGAGGCCCCAAAAAACAGGAAGCGAATGCAGGGTCGCGATATCGGCAAGCTTTTAAGCCTGACTTCGCACACCACCTGCGCTGGCACATCGCGGGGCAGAGTCTGTCCACGCCTGTCGCCGACGCTTGTGGACATGAGCTTCTAGCTGTGGGGTTTCGTCATCCGCTTGCACGCCGGCGGTGGCTCTACCGAGCGAGGTCTAGCAGGAGCTCTGCCGGATCCGTCTGCCAGCTCTGATTGAGGGCGATCGCACAGTTGACACCGCGCAGCCAGCCTCGAATGAGGTTCTGGCGGGTGCGCAGGGCAGCTCGGTGGCATCTTTCCCCTCGGCCGCAGTGTTTCACGTCCCCGCTACTTCTGGAGTCGGCACAGCCCCTCATTCGCCGAGCGCGTTCCACTACTCGCAAAGTGCCTACTCGCAACCGTCCGAAATATACAGGTATTCCTCTATGTAAGATATCGTAAATCCCCCGGGGCGGATCCAGGCAATTTGCGAGTAGTTCATTTGCGAGTAATTAGTGGCAGGCGACTGTCCACCCATACGATCGTCAGTTGCAAGTGCATCAGCAACTCGTGGAAGCGCAGAGCGCATCCACCGCGACGCTGCGCAGCACCCTGGAGGGAAGGGTGGACATGGCCTGCAACCTACACCACCCCTGCCCCGATGGCTGCGTCCACGTCCTCCTCGCCATCTGGTTGTGGAGGACGATCAATGGAGCGGAAGCATGCTGCCAAATAATTTCCAGATGTCTAAAACATGTATTAAACATGTTTTAACCATGTAAAGCCATGTTCAAAACATGTTTAGAACACTTTTCTGGCATGCTAAACACATTGTAAATTCAATGCTAGGACCGTTAGGGTGTCCATTTTCGTGGCATCCACACTCATCTTGTTTCGAGGAGATTGCTACCTTCAACGCGGGCCGCCTGGAGATCATGGAGGTGCCGATGCAGTCTCTGACCGAGCGCATTCCGACACCCGTGATGATCAAGGATTGTGTCGCTATTCTGCTCGTTGAATCAATGTCGGCGGGCGTTCGAGATTGCGTTGCCCCTATCTTTGGTACGGCTTCCGCATCGCTGGTGGACGGCATGACCGAGAAGATGACAGAATTCGCCCGGTAACCAGCGCAAAGGATCAAGCTATCAGGTGACCGTGCCGTCGAGCTCGAACCAAATTCACAAAGGATGCTTTCGGCGTGATGGTCATTTCCACCACCCTGACGGCCAAGCAGCGCGTGGGGAGCACCGTGAGCGTCGTGCCCAAGGGCGGAACATGATGACGGCTTTGTGGCCTTGTTATCAGGGCGGCCTTGTTGCGAGAAGGCAGGACGCCTTGATGCCTTTCGAGTCGAGCTGATCTGGCGGCACGCCGACTCTCTGCAGCAGCGACGGCCCTGCTTGAATCGAGCCGCGTCTCATGCCGATGCATTACGTGAGATGTGACGACGTCGTTCTGGCGGCCGACTGGGCTGACTACCTCGAGATGCTCGAACGAGATGTTGACTGAGCTGCCGTGCGCCTCCTCGTCGCGCCCAGCGCACACCTCGTCGCGGTGCGCGGCCTCATCCGCTCCTCGTCGGCCAAGTTCTCATGTTTGGTCCATTCGCCTCCCCTGGCGTCCTGGTCCGGGGCCGTGGATTCATGCTGCGTGCTGTTTGTTGGGGTCTTTCTACGCTCCGCCTCCTCCTTCTTCTTCTCGCGCGCTCGCTCGCTCAAAGAGGCTTGGGTCCGTGGCCTCCGGGTAAGACATAGAGGGGCTGCAAAAAGAGTCCTCGCCATTGCCCGTCTCGATCTTCCTCTTCCTCCTCCTCCTCCTCCCCCTCCTGCCGTCAGGCCGAGGCAATATCCAAATGCCTCGCCATCGCGGATAGGCGGTGCAGCCTGGGCTCCGTGTGGCACCGCCTGAATGCGGTGTGGGTCAGATTATGTCAGGCTGCTTATCCCGCCCGCTCGCGGGTGCGATAAGGAACGGGCGGAGGGCGGCACTTCCCTCTAGGAGGTTCGTGGTCGTTGGTTGTCGTCCTTCGTGTCTCGCTTCGTCGTCGTGTCCGTCGCCTCTTCCCTCTTTGGGAGTTGCGGCACGGCCCTGGATTGAGTTCCAGGGTGGACGTTGTTTGCGCTCCTGGGCCGGAGAGTGGCCCTCCCCCCTCCCCGCCCCCGCTGCCGCCGCTGTCGCCGTTGCAGCCGTCAGGCCAGGGCTTTTAGTGCCCTGCCACCTCGGCCAAGAGGCGCGGCCTAGGCGCGAGGAAACCCCAGTGGCACCTGCTCTGAGGCGAACCGCCGTTGACGATCACGGAGGCGGGGCCCGCGGCTTCCCGCCTGTAACCTCTTGGTTGCAGTGCCCTTTGCCGCAGGCATACTGTTGCCGTGCTCGTGGGGGCGCGGGCGCTGGGCAACGCTCCGCGCGTTGCCGTTTGGGCGCCGATCCCGAACCCCCTTGCGCCAGTTTGGCGCGGGGTGTCGGGCGGTCCTTGGTTTGCTGTTTTTGTTGGGGGGGGCTTCCTCCCTGAGGCGCAGCGTTTCTGGCGGTATTGAGAGTTAGTCAGAAAAAGGAAGCCGGAGGTCAGGTCCCAGCTTGTGTCCGCGATTCCCCCTTTTTGCCCGAGTGCCGCTGGCCAGGGCACGTTGGCCCGCGCTTCGTTGAGCGCCTGGGTTTTGTTTTGCTTCTGGGCCTGCCAACAATCCTTCTCTTCTCCTCCTCCTCCTTCTCCTTCTCCCCCTCCTCTTCCCCCTCCTCCTCCTGATCCTCCTTTGGTTCTCCCCGGCGCAGCTGGCGTGCGCTCCCGGCGGGGAGGGCTGGGGGGGGGTCATGAGAGGGAACAACAAACAAACACAAATGCACGTCGATTCTATTGGTCGTAGTTTTTTGTTCGTTATTTTGCCGATCGGCGCGGGCCCTCGCCCCCCCCCCTGTGGAGTATATCTTGGCTGTTAATGGCGCCTTTTTCGAGCAGGTGGAGTCTCCTCTCATAGGACGCACTGCTGCAAACAGTCGCACTACGCAGAGGTCCGGAGCCAGACCCCCCCCTTTGCCGCCCAATGTCGAAAAGCCGAATAAAAACACGCTCACTTGAACATCTGGGAAAATTTGGGAAGTGGTGGGGAAGACGAACATCCCGAACATGTGGAAAATCGGGGCGGGGTATCTTGGGATTTGTGTCTGTGTGGTGTGTTCCTGGGTGCCTTCATGCTGGGGCTCTCGGGGCCGCGCACCGTCTTCGCGCGGGATGTCGCGCTCTTCGGGCGGGCCGTTGCCGCTGTGGGACCGGCTTCGTCCAAGAAAAGAAAAGCAAAACGGAGTGCATGTTCCCCCGACCTTGCGACAACATGGGAACCAGCGTAGTGTGCCTTAAAGCGGCACAACGTCAACCGGACACGCGAATCAGCAGTATGCGCCCTATGGGCATCCTCTTTGTTTTTCTCTTCCTCGCAAGTCACGTCCACTCGTCCTCGAAGGTCGGGGTCCGTGGCAATATCCGGTTTGTTCACCGACTTTGCGGAAGGACGGACGACACGGGAACCAGCAGAGTGCGCTTTAAAGCGGCACAGCGTCAAACGGACAATATTGTCATCAATGTTTAAGTCAGAAGGTCTTTAGTTTGGAACCCTTTTTTTTATCTTCCGGCGGCGAATACAACAGGTCCTGAAACCTCCTCGCCGCGGCGGATATTATTTCACCTTTATTGTCGGGCGGGTTGGGTGATGGTTGGGAACTTTTTATCCAGCGGAATAATCCGCTGTGGGCTACCCTGCACGCGACACGGTGCGTGAGCATTTTTCGAATGAGAAATGCAGTGGGGATTGCTTCGTTTTGAAGCGCGAGTTTGTTGAGAGTCGTTTTCCTAGCACTGCTGGCCGAACTCCTGCGGGCGCCTGGCCGGCGCGCGCGGCGGCGTGAGTTTGGTTTCCCTCCACTTTTGGGCGGGCTGGATAATGTTCGGGACTTACTTCTCCAGCGGAATATTGTACTGTGTGCTACCCTGCACGCGGGGGGGATTCGTAAGCAATTCCTCGACGATTGCCATCGGAATTGCTTCGCTTTGAAGCGCGAGTTTGTTGAGAGTCGTTTGCCCGGCACTGCTGGCAGATCTCCTAGTGGCGCCTGGCCGGCGCGCGCGGCGAGGTGGGATAAGTTTCCATAGATTGTTGGGCGGCGGGCTGGGTTATATTGGGGGTACTATATCCAACGGAACCATCCATTGTGGGATAATTTGCGCGCGGGGGTATTTGTGTTCATGAGACTTGCAAAGCAACTGCGCTTTATTTTGAATTGCGAATTTGTTCAAATTCGCCTGCATAATATTGTCGGTAGAACTCCTGCGGGCGCTTGGTCGGCGCGCGCGGCGACATGGGATTAGTGACCCCTTAATGTTGGGCGGGCTGGAAAAGATGTGGGGTTTATTTCTTCAGCGGGATTTCCCGTAGTGGGCGACCCTGCACGCGGGAGGATTTGTGAGTATCTTCTCATGAGGATTGCGATCGGAGTTGCTTCGTTTTGAAGCGCGAGTCTGTTGAGAGCCGTTTGCCTAGCACTGCTGGCAAGACTCCTGCTGGCGCCTGGTCGGCGCGCGCGGCGAGGTGGGAGAAGTGTCCCTCTATTGCTGGGTGAATTGGATACTGTTTGGGGGGTACAGTCGGGCCGCTGAAGAAGGAACCCTTTTCGTTGGGGAGGGGTTCGGTGTTCCTCGATTCTTTTACAGCTTGCCACAGGCTTTCCTGAGGTTTTTCATGGGAAATAGAAGTAGAACTTACGGAAGAGAAGGGCCTCGTTCCTTATTTAGGGTTCCTTAGGTCAACGCCCCGACTTTACATGTCCATTTGTTGTTCGGCGGTTTGGGTAGTGTTTGGAGGTTATTTCTAAAGCGGAATAATATGTTGTGGGCGGCCTTGCGCGCGGGAGGATGTGTAAGCATCTTCTCTGGAGGACTGCCATAGGAATTGCTTCGCTCTGAAGCGCGAGTTTGCTTCAAGTCGTTTGCCCATCACTGCTGGCAGAACTCCTGCTGGCGCCTGGTCGGCGCGCGCGGCCAACATTGCGATTTTTCCAGCGTGGACATTACAGAATTCGCCATAGTTTTGCATTGTCCACGCGACACAGGATGGATTTTTCTGAGGGCCCGCGCGGGGCCTGAGCTTCGGTTCTCAGGGTGGAGTTTCCAGGACAAAGTTTATGAGTGCTAAGTGTCTGAACCAAGCTTTTCCATGAGAGCGCTGTCGGCGGGCGCCACGGGGAACAAATAATGTGTTGCTTATGTTGGTGGGACACCAGTCCGTCAATAAGGCCGCCAGAAAAACAATAAAATGCGTTTGTTTTTGGGAGGGAGTCTAAAGACCTTATGAGGACATGCGCCGTATAGGCATCCTCTTCTTTGCTTGTGTATTCCTGGCCCTGCGGAGGGGTTCCCGTTTCGCGTTCCCTTGGAGGGGTCTGGGGGGGGACACCAGGGACATGGCCCCTGGCCACGTGCGGAACGCTGGCGGAAGCCAGCGGAAGACGGCCGCTGTCGGGCCCATTTCGGCCGACGCCATGCGAACCTTGCCACTGGGGCCTTCGGTGGGCGTCCCTACGGGACCACGGACCATGTGAGGGGAAAGCCAAAATTAGGCGGCGCCGTCATGCGAACCCTGTCACTGGGGCATTTGCTGCAGCCCCCTGCTGGGGCCACGAACCGTGCGAAGGATGTCCTTGAGCAGAGGCAGGGGCGGGAGGAGGGAGGAGGGGGAGGAGGAGGATCAGCACGAATTAGGGGCGCTCTCTTTTCAAAACGAGGACCGAAGACCACAGGATGGTTTGGGAACCGCGCGCATGCTTTTGAAACATTGCACGAGGTTCATTGCTTGAGGGCGACTCATTTCCAAAATGTGATTCTCGCCTTAGCACCGCGTGCATCCCTCTCGAACAGTTGAACAAGTGTTATTAGCTCTCATGGCTATCGTAACAGGAATCGCGTCTTGGAGCGATGAAGGATTGTCAGGGTTTAACAGTTACGTTGATTCGCAGTGTTGAAGTCGCAGGTATGTTGTTCTGGCGCGATGCAGGATCGTCAGTACGCATCAGTCTGGTTGACTTGTGGCCTTTGAGGTCATGAGAACGGTGTTCTAGCACGCTTCAGGATTTTCACACAGCTGTCCCCCAACGGGGCACTTTCTTTCAGTGGACATGAACCTTTGTAGGGGCTTGCGAAGAGGAGCTTGGAGAGAAGATGTATTCCGACATCGTTGATGAATCTTGGGTTTACACCGGTCCTTCTCCTCCTCCTCCTCCTCCTCCTTATCCTCCTCTTCCTCCTCCTCTTCTTCCTCCTTCTCCCCCCCGCCGAGGCACGCGACCACCAGATGGCGCTCCTCAAGAAGGCCATCGCGGACGTCAAGGCTGGACCTCGGCCCTCCGCCATCCCGCGGCGCCGCGGTCCTCTGCGCCCCCCTTCACTACCTGCTGCCCGCCCGTCGGCCGCTTCGGCCTGTGCTCGGCACGATAGACATGGGTACGGAAATAATGGGTACGGATGGGAGCCGTCTTGGGGCTCTGAGGTGCCCAGCACTGGCTCCAGCCGGCAGGAACGGCGGGCAGGTCCGAGGTGCTGGCTTCGGGATGGCTTTTTGGCTTTGTTCGGTCTCCGTGTGGGCCGTCTTCGGGCCCTGGGGCCGTGAGAGTTTGACCTGGTGTGAAAACTGCACCAAGTGGACCCCTGGAGGAGGCCGGGGATAGATCTTGACGGGGTGTGGCCTCCTCCCCCCCTCCTGACCGCTTCTCGGGGGTCCCCACCAGTTCTGCCCAGCCGGCCGCCACCGAGGTACGAAGACCGACACCAGTTCCTGCTCACTCTACGTAGCGGTCGTTGTCAGCGCCGCCGCGGGCGTTGTCCATTCGGGACAGAAGAACGTCGCCTGCCCGACCTCGGCCGCTGTCGGTGTGGGACAACATTCGTTGCTGGGCATCGTGCCAATGTCTTAGCGTACTCGTTTCGGGGGTGTCCACATGTGTCAGCACAGGCAGGGGCTGAGGCGGAAAATGCGGCTGAGGGCGAGAGGGGTAAACGAGGAAGCTTGTTTTTTGTTCAACCGGGCGACGCCGCCCGTGATAGCTCCCTGCGCCCCCCCCCCCTCCTCCTCCTCCTCCTCCTCCTCCCTCCTCCTCTCCTCCTCTCCTCCTCCTCCCCTCCTCATCCTCTCCTCCTCCTCCTCCCTCTCCTCCTCCTCCTCCTCCTCCTCCTCCCCTCCTCCTCCTCCTCCTCCTCCTCCTCCTCCTCCTCCTCCCCCCGATCGCGCCGCGCTTCCCGTGCCATCTGGTGGCCATTTCCTTGTCTCGGCACCTCCCCCCCGAAAAACGGTCTCGCGAGCAGGCCATTGTGGCGCTCACGGGCTTACTGCTGGCATTCGCAAACGCATCGCGTTGCTCGCAGGCCATGTCGTGGCAGCTGTAGCGCCCAGCATGTTGCTGCGCGTCCACGTGCTGGCCGCTCGCTGCTGCGGTACTGGCAGGGACCAGCTTTCTTCGACGCGAGGCTGTCGCCGCTCTCCAGGGTGCGAACAGGCGCGTTGCAATTTTCGCGGGCTGTTGTGATGCTTGCGACAGGGGAAGGAGGATGATGAGGAGTACGAGGAGTAGGTAGAAGGAGGAGGGAGGAGGGAGGAGGGAGGAGGGACAGAGAAATGAATGGAGCAGCAGCGCCGTTGTATGGTATATTCGTGTGCTGAATACTCAAATTCGCAGCCTGGTGGACCGCACAATGATGGACCCCCTTCCTATCCTTCGACATCTTTCTTCCGTCTTTCCTCTCTCCCTATTCCTCTTTTTCTCCTGCTCCCTCTCTCTCTCTCGCATCCCTCCTTCCTCCCACCTTGTCTCCTCCGTCCTCCCTTCCCTCCTGTCTCTGTTCCTTTGTTTGTTTTCACAGCCATTTATCCCTCCCGCTCCCTTCCTTCCCCCCTAACCCCCGTCATCCAACTCGTCCCCTCGTCCTTTCTCTCGGTCCTCCTTCACCCTCTTTCCCCCTCTCCTCGTCGCCCCCTCCCTTTCCCCCCCAATTCGTCCTTCCCCTCTGTGTTTTTGCACAACCCCTTTTTTCACGATGCCCCCAAGAGACTTTCAAGAGACCCCCAAGAGGTTCCTGGAGGCCCCCCAGAGGCCCCAAGACGCCCCAAGAGGCCCCGGGACTGCCAGATGACTCCCAAGACGCCCCAAGAGGACCCCAAGAGACTCGAGAGAAATCCGAAACATTCCTTCCCCCTCGGGTCCCTCCTCTCCCCCCTGTCCTTCCCTCCGCCTCTCTCCCTTGTCCTTCCCTGTCTTCCCCTCTCCTCTCTTCCCCCCTCCCTTCACCCCTCCCTCCCTTCACACCGTCCCTCCCCCTCCCTCCCTTCCCCCCCGTCCCTCCCTTCCCCCCGTCCCTCCCTCCCTCTCCTACTTCCTCTCCCTCTGTCGTTCTCCTCCTTCTGCTTTTGCCCGATCCCTCCTTTCCCGCCTTCCCCCTCCGATTCCTCCTCTCTCCCTTGTCTTCCCCTGCCGCCGTCCTCCCGCCCGCCTCTCCTCCATCTCGTGTTCCCCCTCCCGATGAGGAGGAGGAGCAGGAGGAGGCGGAGGAGGAGGAGGAGGAAGAGGAGGAGGAGGAGGAGGAGGAGCAGGAGGAGGCGGAGGAGGAGGAGGAAGAGGAGGAGGAGGAGGAGCAGGAGGAGGAGGAGGAGGAGGAGAAGGACCAGTGCAAACCGAAGACTCATCAACGGAGTTAGAAGAGAGCCTCCCTCCAAGCTCCCTCGTACAAGGGCTCACGCCCACTGAGAGAACTGCCCCGTTGGGAGACAGCCGTTTGAAGACCCTGAAGAGTGCCAACACAACATTCTCGGGTCTTCAAAGCCACAAATCAACATGATTGTTGCGTCTTGACAGTCCTGAACCGTGCCAGAATACCATTCTTGGGATTTCAACTCCGCGAACCAACGCAACTGTTACGCCCTCACAATCCTGGGCCCGTTCAAAACACAATTTCTGGTACGCTGGCCATGGGGATGTGTGAGACGAACGTGCGCGGCGCTGAGGGCGAGAGCCACATTTTGAAGAGGAGCAGCCCTCTACATGTCAAACTTTCGCAATATGTTTGACGAATGTGCGCGGCGCTGAGGCGAGAGCCACAGTTTGAAAATGAGCCGCCCTCAACCCGTGAAACAATTGCATTTGTCTAAGCTTGAGGGTCATCAATGATGGGGAAGTCTCAAGCGAAACGCCCGGCCCGCCCTTTCGACCGACTCCGGAGCGCGACAGAGAGGAGTTCATGAGAAAAAATGGAGGAGGAGGAGGAGGAGAAAGAAGGGCGGGGGTAGGAAGAGGAGGAGGAGGAGGAGGAGGAGGAGGAGTTTCAAGGGCAACGATAGGGAGGGATAGGCATAGGGGGGGATGCATCGACCCCCAATCGCCCATTGATCGCCGATAGGAGCTCGATAGCCCCAACCTGCCCAGAAAGGTGCGGATTCACTATCGGAGGCCTATCGCCGATCTATCGGCGATGTATCGCCGATTCCAGGTCGATGCTTCCCCCCCTATGCCTATCCCCCCCTATCGTTGCCCCTCAGGGTTGGAGGAGTTGGAGGAGCAGGAGGAGGAGGAGGAGGAAGAGGAGGAGGAGGACCAGGGGGAGGCGGAGGGGGAGGAGGAGGAGGAGGAGGATGAGGAGGAGGAGGAGGAGGAGGAGGCGGAGGGGGAGGAGGAGGAGGAGGACGAGAGGGCGGAGGAGGAGGAGGAGGACCAGTGTAAACCCAAGAGTCACCAACGATGTTGGAATAAACCCTTCCCCCAAGCTCCTTCTACACAGGCCCCTTCATCGGTTCATTTCCACAGAGGGACCTGCCCCGTTGGAAGACAACCGTTTGAAGACCCTGAAGCATGCCTGAACATTATTCTCGGTTGCCCAACGCCACGGATGAACCTGATTGTTGCGTCTTGACGATCTTGAATCGTGCCAAAAAGCCATTTTGGGGATCTCAACTCCGCGAATCATCGAAACTGTTGTGCCATCAGAACCGTGCATCCCTTCCAAACACCATGTCTGGTACGTCGACCATGGGCATCCGAGAAACGCCTGCATTTTTGAAACAGGACTGTGCGCGGCGCTAAGGCGAGAGCCACATGTTGAAAAGGAGCCGCCCTCAATCCGTGAAAGTCGTGCAATTGTTGTTCTAACAAGAATGCGCGTGGCGCTAAGGGGAGAGCCACATTTTGAAAAGGAACCGCCCTCGAGCCTTGAAGCTCTTACAAATGTTAATAACGAATGCGCGCGGCGCTTAGGCGAGATCCACATGTTGAAAACCACCCGCCTCAATCCGTGAAACCCTTGCAATTTGTGTAAACGAATGTGCGCGGTGCTAACCCGAGAGCCACAGTTTGAAAAACCACCCGCCTACAGTGCGTCAAACTCTTGCAAAATTTGAAAAACGAACGTTCGCGGCGCTGAGGCGAGAGCCGCATTTTGAAAACCACCCGCCCTCCGTCTGTGAAATTGCTGCCAAAGTTTAAGCTTCACGGTCATAACTGGGGAGGAAGTCTCAGGCGAAAAGCCCGGCTCTCCCTAAAACCTGGCCTCGGGGTGCGACAGGGAGAAGTGATTTATAAGGAGAAGGAATGGAGGAGGAGGAGCAGGAGGAGGAGGAGGAAAAAAGGAGGGGGAGAAGGAGGACGAGGAGGAGGAGGAGGAGGAGGAGATGGAGAAGGAGTAGGAAGAGGAGATGAAGGAAGACGGGGAGGACGACGACGAGGACGAGTACGACGACGAGGACGAGGACGAGGAGGAGGACGAGGACGCGGAGGAGGAGGAGGAGGAGGAGGAGGAGGAAGAGGAGGAGGAGGAGGAGGAGGAGGGAGGAGTTGGAGGAGGAGGAGGAGAGGAGGAGGAAACAGGAGGAAGAAAGGAAGGGGATGAGGAGGAGGAAGAAGAAGGACAAGTAGGAGGTGGAGGAGGAGGAGAAGGGAGGGGTGAGGAGGAGGGGGAGAAGGGAGGAGGAGGAGGAGAGAGGAGGAGAGGAGGAGGAGGAGGAGGAAGAGGAGGAGGACGACGAGAGGAGAGGATCAGGAGCAAGGAGCAGGAGAGGAGGAGGAGGGAGGAGGTGGAGGAGGGAGGAGGAGGAGGAGGAGGGAGAGGGGGGGAGGAGGAGGGAAAGGAGCAGGAGGAGGAGTTGGAGGAGGAGGAGGAGGGGGGAGGAGGAGGAGGAGGAGGAGGAGGAGGAGGAGGAGGAGGAGGAAGGATAGGGATGGGGGGAAGGAGGAGGGGGAGGAGTGGGAGGACGTGTAGGAGGAGGAGGAGGAGAAGCAGGAGAAGGAGGAGGAGGAGGAGGAGGGGGCCCTGGAGGCTCATGATGTTACTTTGCATCTTCGGGGGACCTTC